ACCCCCCCCACCCCTCAACCACTCACCGCAGGCCTCCAGCATGTTCTTCTGGACGTCTGACGTGAGCTACTCCTTCGCCCCCCCCCGCACCGACTACCCCGCGGCGGTGTTGGAGGCGGGGGTGGAGACGTTGGACACCTGGCCGTTCTTGACGCGCGGTGTGGGGCCCAACACATATTACAGCGTGGTCACTTCGATCCGCGCCTGGGAGCTTGGCGGCAGCTTGTCGGACGACCGTGTCAAGGCCCTTGTAACCAAGTTCCTGATGCAGGTGCGTGATGGCGGTAGTGGTGGTTGTGGTTGTGATGGTGGTGGTTGTGATGGTGGTGGTTGTGATGGTGATGATAGTGGCAGTGGTGGTGATTGTGGTGAGGTGGTGGTTGTGATGGTGATGATAGTGGCAGTGGTGGTGATTGTGGTGAGGTGGTGGTTGTGATGGTGATGATAGTGGTGGTTGTGATGGTGATGATAGTGGCAGTGGTGGTGATTGTGGTGAGGTGGTGGTTGTGATGGTGATGATAGTGGTGGTTGTGATGGTGATGTGATGGTGGTTGTGATGGTGGTGGTGGTGATGATGGTGGTGGTGGTCTAGCCTTTCCCCCTCTTCCCCCGGCCCCCCCGACACACGCGCACACACGTCGACAGATCGTCTTCCTTGACAGGAGCAGCTATAGTCCCCCCACTTTCGGTCTCGGTCGCCAAACCCCCACCCGTTCAGTTTCCCCCCGTCCCCCGGCCCTCTGTCCCCGCGCCTCACAGTACGGCTATTATGGCCTCAACAATGTGGTTTCGGTGCTGGGCCCGCCTACCATTACTCTTGCCGTACCGCCCGAGCTTCTCTCCACTTCCCCTGATGCCCCCGACTGGACCCAACTGACAATACCGTTGAAGAAGGCTGGTGGTTCCGGAGCCCCCTCCCGAGCCCTATTGATGACGTACGCAACTAACAATACGGTAAATGACGGGCGTGTGGGGTATGCAGGGAAGGAGGAGGAGGCAGTAGGGCCGCCATGCAGCTGTTACAACGGACAACCGTAGAACTGAAACAGTTAGAAGGTGGTTGTAACAGAAAGTTGAAGGGTGGTGACCATGTAACTAAAACGGTTAAGGCGGTTGCAAGCGGCGGCTGTGGTTGGTCCTCGGATGTGGCGAATGTCCTAGGGCAATAGGGGACAGGGCAGAGGAAACCGTTACCGTTGCTACTACAGTTGTCATAACCACCTAACGAACCCTCTAACCGCAATCGTCTTACATCTAACTATCATAAGAAGAGTCATGTCCATCTATCGCAGCTCATACCCTCTTGTAAATCTGTGTACGTCGGTATGTATTTATGTATACTACATGTGTGTGGTACATGATATCTGGCCGGACCTCTGTCTCCCGCCAGCGGCGGATATGAAAAACCCTAGTCCTAAATGAAAAAACGTTATGTTTGTCTGTCTGTTTGTCTGTCTGTTTGCCTGTTTGTTTGTCTGTCTCTACGCGTGCAGGCCTCTCAAGGCGGATTCGCCGCCAAGCTGCTGCTTAACACGAGCCTCAGCTTCACCGTTGTCGTATCCGCCAACCAACTAACCGCCTGGGTACTTGACTCAGCCGCCGGCGGCGCCGCGGTGGCGGGCGCGGTTGTAACCGTGTTGATTAGGCCGTCGGATTATTTTACGCAGGTATATACGACAGTGTACGACATTGCATATTATTATTGTGTGGCGTGTGTGTTTGTGTGTTTTGGGGCTGTTCCACGCATTCTGCATTTCTCGCCCCTCTTCGCCCCCCTGCCTGCCGGCTGTCTTTTCCTATCTCCCCCCCTTCTCCTTTTCCCCCAAATAGCAGCTTCGTGTCATCTCAGATATCCTTCTTGGCTTGTCCTTGCATGTGTGTGTGTATGTGTGTGTGTGTGTGTTTCACCCTCCCCACCACACCGTCCAACCCCCCCCTTTCCCCCCTCCCCCCCC